TATTTCTCCGGTATGAAATCGAAAGTGATGCACTCTTTTCGTCAGATGCTATCGGTAAAGTGAATCGTCGCGTTGCATTTTAAACGCACGAATCCTTTTTTGATATCATTGTCTGGCTACTGTCTGCGCAACGGGCATTAAAAATTTTTATAGATAAGGCGAATGCCTTCGTAATAATAACAAACTCACTGAGTCACCGAGTTTATGTTACCTACTCTTCGTAAATGCAATGCAATTCGAGCCGAGACGTGCAACAGGGTAAATATTTCTGTTCGCCCGTATTTGTTTTACTTGCCTCGAATTAATTGTAATAATTTCCCAATAGGAACGTTTAATTGGTTCGTAAAGTTCGAGCTACTATAAACTTGTAAGGTAAAAAAATTTATTGCGCTTGTGGCTAGGTATGTATTGGTATTTTTGGTATTTATTTTGGCCCATAAGGGCCCTCTGTCAGGCCGGAACAATGCGAGAAACGGTCAGTTGGCCTTTGTCTCAATTTCGAGAGTGTCAAACGTAGGAGTGGCACGGTAATTTTAAACGCTCCGTACTTTCTCACGCAAATTAGGCATCGTTTAGCGGCCGAGCCCCCAAAAAGGGCCCACCGCTGGAACTGGAAACTCCACCTCCACGTGGAACTACAAAAAATACAGTTGGCCAAGTCCCGATCGAATACAAGACCACTAACTTTACAATATAGCTCATTTAAAATAAACAAGTTTGTCAATTCTGGTCTACCAATATTAATTCAAACACCCTGCAATAAAAAGTAATAAATTCCGTGTGATACGGCTCTGTATAGAGTCTAAACGGTTCGCTATATCATGATATGCGGTCGAGGAAATGGCGAGTACTGGTAGTAGCGACTTAACTGGTACTTTCCTCATCTGGTACCAACTCGCAGCGGTCGCAGTACCAGTAATTATCTTCCACTTTGCAATATATCAGATGGGCCACCTTCTGCACGGCCGCGGAGAGAGGGCGGACGGAAAATCGTGCGTGTGAAAATACGTTATTTTTTTTGTTCATATCCATCTTAAAAGAGTGAAATTTGTTTTTCTTCAACGGTAAATTTACTCGAAGTTAGTTTCGATATCGACGCCACGTTTCCATTGGATAAATATACAAGTCATCCACTTCGGGCGCTCTGGAAATATCAACCGAACTCGCCGGGCTCGATTATCATCTGTTTATTTTTTCTGCTATCAAAATAGAGTCGAGTCGCATTACTTATTTACTACCGAAGTGCTTCTAAACTCGAGGAATCTCCGAACGCTCGAAAAAAGAACAACAACCGCGCTAAGTACCTTATTTACCGGTTGCATTTCGATCATTATAGTTCAACTACCCAAAACCTGGCTCGTTTACATTGCTTGGCCTAGTATTTATGTTATCTTTATGCGCAATTGGAACGCCTAATAATTAGAAAGTTTCGAACAAATCGTCATCCCTCTTCCCAGTAGATATCTTTTGAAGAGGTGTCGTGTATAGTATACGAGCGTGTGAACAAGCAATATTAATCGAAATGGCCTCCCGAAGGCATTGAACAAAGGCGAAAACCATCCAGAATGCAATGTAATAACTAATATCTGCGGAATACGGATTCGCGAAATGCCTGCGCGAAAAGCTAAACAAATATTAAAGACGATTAAGCGGATGATTTAGAGTGCTGTTGGAAACATTCGCAAACGGCGGAATTAACTATTCAACTATTATGTTATAGATTTATTGTTATTGTTATTGTTTGTTAGTAAATCATCGGATTTGTTTGCGTAAAGCTTGATATATGCGAATGATAATTCGTTTAAAATATTCTGCATAGGTACTAGCTATTATAATTCTTGTAAGTACCTAGTATATCATGTATTTATTTCATTAGGAAAAATGCATCTCACGCCGAATGCCAATATCGTTTTCGATATTTTTAAATACCCTCCAGAACTCCTCAAAAGATTTCTATGCATTAATTTATAATGTTAAAAATAGAAAATTAACTTGCGAGTTTTACGTTCGATAAATAGATGGTGTTCGATAATAAATTTTCCTGTTTTTTTCCAGGTAGAAAGAAGTTTTCTAGGAAAATTTATGATGTCCAGGATCATCGCTCAGCGGAAATTGTTCTGCTCAACGGATGATTCTGAACAATTTTTGCATCAGCTGGATCCAACGTCACAGGTTAGTAATTAAATTATTTACCTGAACTTTAATCCAGTGCCGAATTTCCGCATTTTTATGACCTGCGTGCTGCTCTAATCCCACGCAGGAATTCCATACTCTACTGTACGATAAATTACTATTTTATTCGCATTGCACGCGAATAAGTGGAACTTTTTTCGATGCGTTCGATGATACATAGTCAACAACTGTCAAAATTGACATTAATGACATTCGTATAGCAGAAGTTTAATAGAGGTGGGAACCATTTTTTTTTTGTAGAGGTGCAGTAACGATTGTTACAAAATAAACGTTGTTTCAAATAACGTTCTCCTGATTACACTATTACTCTATTTTACTCTACACGAATAGAGTTTAGATCGCTTCAATTTTGATTATTTTGGTTTTTTTAATATGGGATAAATAACTGTTGGAGGAATTCGAAATATTCGAGTGTAACAAGTCCAGCCCAGGTAAGAATAACTAAATCTTCCTAAACAAAACAAAAAAAAAACGACTCTTGTAAACAAGTAGCTTACAAATTTATACCTCTTGAGAAAGCAAATATTTGCTTATTTCATAGTAAATTTCTCGAGTGACATGCGAGTTATTTTTTCTTTTAAGATGTCCATACGATCGATTCTCGTCGGTTCTCACGCGCCATGTTCGTTTTGATCAAGAGAAAACTCCGAAAATTCACCGACATCTTAAATAAATTGTTGTAAAAAAGTAGACTTTGAAGGAAATTTGACAAGTGAAGTACGAATGGCGTTTCTAAGCTCAAAATGTCCGCTAGATTTAACGAAATGGTCGTCTCAAAAACAACAAAATATTTGTTTCCAATGGCGTCGAGTCGACATTGTTTCTACGCGAATTAGTATTCAATCGATAATATAATTACCATTCGAAATGACAATCATTTATTATCGAGATTGCATTAATTTCGCCGGCGTTTACACCTTTTTCCTCCAGCATTCCATTCGGATTCGATATTAGAATTTAATTGACCCGATCGCGATGGTGACGAATGTTGGCGCCTTTTTTTTTAATTGGCCGTCGCCTTGCGCAATATTTATACTTACATGTAAATGTTCCATTGAATTTGTCGTTATTAATTTACCTATTAAGTAACGCATAATTTATTTGATCGGCAGTTAGTTTTATCAGCAACTTATGTGTTGATGAAGTGAACAAGGTTGGTAGGATTGGATTTTTTTGGTTCTTACTATATCTGTCACTTGTCATGATTGTTTGGGTGAATCCCACGAAAGTGCGTACAGTTATGAGAGTATTGTGGAGAGCCGATGAGAAGTGAAGAACTAAAGAGGAATATAATAAATAGGAATAATAGACTGACAATTGAGCTAGCGGTTTTTCAACGTGTGGCCCTCGGGCTTTAAAGATAAAGTGAATTGTTACGAATCATTAAGCACGAATAGTGTTCGCAAATCGATTCCCATCGACGCTCTTTCAACAGATAATATTGATTTTCGATTATATTAGTAGAGGAAAATTCTACTACTTCCATACATACCCCTTTTATCTTCTATCTATAGAAAAATCAATATTTTTCGATTTTTTATTTGAATTGAGTAAGAATTGCGCATTGGATTTTCGTATATGTGTGTATGCCTATTTAAAACGGGGAATTTTTGGTATATGAAGTCACGGACTAATTCGCTTTATGATCGGTTTGTTTGAATAAGAATATTTGCGCATGAGGTAAAACGTTTTATTATTTATAATCCTGTTATTAATTAAATTATCAAAATAGCAGCGTTCGGGTATTTTTGGATATCGGCGGGCTATTAATAAAATGATTTTAATTGCGGGTAGGGATTTTTGGGGAATTTTAGGCCAAATAAACTAGAACTCGAGTGCTTATATAGCTCGATTATATTGTAAATAAATAGGCGATTCGGTAATTTGTTTTTGATGTTTTAGATTTTATTCGTCGAAATGATGGTTTCTAAAAAGTTTCTTTCAACTGCAATTAAATTAAGAAATCTTTTAAATAAGTAAATAATAGAAAAACCTGGAATATACGTGAAGAAAAATCATTTTAAAATATCAATAAAACCTCAAATTTTTCTCATAAACAAAGCAAAATTCTTCCTTTCTTCCAACGATTATTTACAAATCCAACCGGTCTTCAAAAAGAATTTATTTGCATTTACGAAATTCGGGCACGCGGAAATCGAACGCGCAACTAAAAATATTCCCATTGAAGTACATACATAATGTATTTACGGTTTTCCACATGCATTTCCAACTTTTACTCCGATTATTTCGGAAATCGTACGTTGTTTACGACCAGAGATCATAGTTACGAGATTTCGAAGCGTTATTTGATGTAATTCATTGATCAAACGATGAAAAAAAATACATAGGAAAGTGGAAGAAGGTAAAGTAAATAAATCGCCGCTTTTACAAATTGATGTTAGACTAGAAAATAAATAAATAAATACAAGAGATAGGTAACTAATAGATTTTGTTTTATATATGGGGATAGAGCTGTAGTAAGGATGAAATATTTACTCATAACAACAATGTTAGTAGAAAAAAACTGCAGGATTCTTCCATACTAAAAATCGGGCGCGTGATAGGAATTTTTCTGGGAAGCAAAAATAATGTTAGAAAAATAAACGGGCGCATTCCTATCGGTGTTTTTCGCGGCAGAGATGAATGGATGCGAGGGGGGAAATCGCGAATTTTTGTCGAGAAAAGCCCTCGCGCGGGCGCCAATCGGCTCCGGCGACGCAACAAGTGGGCGTCGCGACGGCCAATCCGGCCGCCCGTCCGGACGCTATATCAACGCCATGCCGGCTGCGATCCCGATTATTTTAGCGGCGAATTCCGTGAACAATTTTTTACCGTGTGTTTTTTATTAGGTAAGTTATTCAATCTAACGAAATTAATCTTTTTTTACCTGGTACTCGTTGAAAATAAATAATAGTACAAAATTCCTGCTCGATCGTAGGAAACTATTAGGTATGCATGCGGTGTAGTAAATTTATTAATTATAATGGCGTTCATTAGTATTAATTAGACGATGCGAACTGATTAGTAGGTGTCAACTTACAGTGAAATTCAATCAATCTAGGCGGATTTTAATTAATCAACGTACGGACCTTCTTCATTTTTTACCCTACCATAAATTATTCGAGCAAAACCGTTTAATAAATCGTTACACTTTAGTGATTCTAAAACAACTTTTTAAGCAAAAGACTTTATTATTCATATATGGTAAGATTGATACGAAATAGTCCATGGTCGCCTTTAGATTAAGCGCGCGAGTCAACTGCACAAACGACTCCGACATTTAATCCAATATAATTTGGATCAACTGCACCAATTGAATTATTGATTTGATTGTTTCCAGAATACCGGTTGATGTCGAAACGAGTTTCCAGTGCCAGAGACCAATGTGTTGTCCAAAGTCCGTAGCGAAATGTTCTCGAACCGTCGCGGTCGCGATCACCGTCAACAATCCGAATCGAAGAAACCGAAGAATAGTCTCTCGCGCTCGCACTAGCGCAATCGAACGAGTGGAACGAGGCGAAAGGGTCGGTGTCGCCCTTGCCCCTCGACGGCCCACCGACGCCGCCACTGGCTACTATGCGAATTGCACATTGCGTCCGAGCCCTAATTGCGGTAAGTCCTAAGCACCTAAATAAACCAAAAAAAATCTATTTTTTAAAGGGTTCTATTATATTCTTCACAAAACTACGTACAGGTAATATACACCTCGTAATTATAGTAAGTAAGTCATTATACACTTACGCAAGCGAATAATTATTGTATTAATGATCACGTTAAGAAATGTATTAATTAAAGAGTTAATTTGTAAGGGGTGGACGTTTTCCGCGAGTACCGTACGATTAGGTTGTACAAGGAATTGCGACGTTTATCAATATGTCTCTTTTTCTCTGCACGGTTCGATGCTCTTACTTAACCAATATCTTCGAGAATATGAAAAATATTCGCCAATGATAATCGCGCAATGCGGCACAACCAAACAGCGACATAGATAAAATAATAATTCGAACGCCCTTTACTTTACATTGTAACTACATCAAAATCTAATGCATAAATTATAGCTATACGAAAAAGAAAACAAATCGTTGTATTAAGCCGTTGTACAAGTTACCGAGTAAATGCAACATTTAATGAAGATTTCTTACTCCTGTTATTACATAATAATAACCGACAATTCAACCGGAAAAATATATTTAATCGAATGGAGTTTGTTGTCCGACAACGCATACAAAACGTAACGTAAACACTATATTCCTATTATTAATGGGTCATTAACTAACTACGCCTATGCAAGAATGTCGTTTGTCCGTTTTCGCTTGGTGCTAATGGATATTCGTACCTTCGGTAATCTTACAATATCCTATTTGCTAGTGTATAAACTTAACCGCTGACAGGAGAGCGTAGGTGGTCGATGTGAGCACAAACGCATTAACAAATCGCTTATTAAAAAAATGACTTGGGAGGTTCTTTTCAAACGACGATGCAATGAGAATAACCCCATCACCGCGATGGGCGCGTTGTCACCGGTGATCAATAAACAACTTAAGAAGTCGCATGAGTAATGCGCTGGAAGTGTGTATGCATTGGAAATGGCACTACCAGGAGAAGCCGATGCGGCGCATACCGATGCGCCACATCCATTTATCGAGAAATTTGAATTATTATAGCAATAAGTAAAGTACGTGGATAAATATCAAATATTGCAGTGCGTGTTGCGACGAGGGGTCAGTAAAAATTAATGGAAAAGTAGTAACTCTGTAGTAGAGAAATCTAAAGGATTTAAGTCTGGCGATCGAGCGGGTCATTGTTAGGAATGTAAGGAATGGATCATTATTAGGAAACCGCCTATAATCTTGGAATAACTTTAATGGAAATGTAATTATAAGGTCCAGGACCTTCCTATCAGCGTTTAAAACCAATATTTATAATTCTTCATTATCCTGTAACTTGCAGTAATAACAAGTTGAAAATATTTTCATTAAACTAATTTAAACTTCTTTTCCATATGCTCCCAAATGTGCTATCTTCGTGATCCACACTGTATAAGTATGAAGCTTCTAATTGTAAAACTAATAAACGTATTAGTTACTAATTTTCCTTGTATCGTATGGATATTGGGTAGCTGTAAAACCGTTTAGCGAGCAAACTATCGATGATTTTTGTATTGATTTACGCCTAATAGATAATTTACGAGTTCGAAATTGAACTGTTAACGCCGAGAGCAAACAATCCGAATCGGATTCGTGTGAAACTTATTCACCCTAATATGCAATAATATCGATTTTTTTGAAAAATCCCGTACGCCCGTGCGTTCGAATTCCCGTCCAACACGTGTCCCGAAACCGTAAACATGCACATTACATTGCAATGGTAAGATATCGATATCGCGCGAGCACCAGGTAAGTACAACGGAAAATTATGTTGTCAAAACGGACAGTGGTGGAATTTATTCGTTTCGCCGACTTGACGGCCCAAAGTGCTGTTCGGTGCGCTTTGTACGGGCGTTTTTTTGCGTTTTTTTTCTGATCTCCGATCAGTTTGAACACGTTACGTACACAGCGAGGCGAATAACTGGCGTAGCAAGATCGAAATTAATAAGGTAGGCGTGCAGATGCGAGGCCAAAAAGATATTAAAACTACAACCAAAGATTTGTACTTTATATCGATAAAGAAATTAAATATAAGACTAGAACATTTATTGATAATACACTTCGAAATTAAATTCTATATCTCTTTAGCTATATACATTTCAACAGGAATGGTGTGTTAACTTTGGCTTTCACTTTTCTTTCGTTTTATCTAAATCCACACGGGTTCTCCAAAGCGATTTTACTTCCATAAAACACTTATTAAGACGTTTTCACGTCTCGATAAGCTTTGGGAATCCATAAAAATTCTTCTTAACGAGCCGAAGACGAGCTGGGCCTTTTACATCGGTAGTCATTTTTGTTTTTACATGAAAATACGTTATTATAATCTAGGATTTAGTCATAACTCGCGTGACACAAATCCAGATTAGTTTTTTAGCGCGAGGCAATGAAGACCAGCGGTGTCCATAAATAATCCACCTAAATGAATCAGTGAGATTATAATCTGTCGTTTTATTCGTGCAGTTTATCCTATCCCGGCATTAAACTGCGAATTTAAGGTGGCCATGTACCGGATAGTTTTAATTATACTATATAATACGTTGTAAAATATAACTTGATCTAGTTAATATGGGCACTTCACTGGGTTTATTTCTCAATGAGGCCGACGACTTTTCCGAAAGGATCTTCATAAATTTTTCGATTATCTGTAATAGTCTCGCGAAACCGTCCCACGACGAGTGGGCTCGAATCCGTACTACCCATAAACTATTTCGCCTATAGAGAGCTTAATTAAGCATTTTCGCTTAGAAGAGTCGTAAAGTTTTATCTAGCAGCCATTCAACAAGGACTGTTCTTCTTTTTTCCAGGTGCTTGGTCTAACCGCCGTGGTCATTCCGGTCGCTTTTTGTAACGACGCCTATTTCAATCGAACCGACGACTTTTACGACTTCTTTCGCCACAAAAGGAGCGCCAGGAACAAGCACAAGGCGCTCCACCAGCACGAAGGGGGGTGAGTACATTTCTCTAACGATTCCAGGACGATTACTCATTAAGATGTTTTAGAGTTAACGCGATCGAGAACATCCGTATGACTAAGAAGCAGCATCAAAACGTCCACCACCCGCATCACCAACAACCCGATTTGCACCATTGGAACACCGAGTTGCACCACTCAGCGATCAATCGCACTGGAGAGTGCTGCCCCACGGTGTTGGAGAAGGTGGAACCCCAAGGTGGCTCCAACCAGGAAGGGCTATACGTCGAGCTCTACCAAGACTTCAACTACAGACAAAGGTAAACCACGCAACACAAAATTAACGAATTAACGTAGCACAGTGTCCGTTAGATTCTTCGAATTGTCGTGCCATCCGAAGTACATAGACAAACCGTGCGACTTCATCAATCATCGAAAGTACCACTCGAAGTGCGTGCAGAACTACAGCTACACGTACGCGCTGGTTAAGAACACGGATTCGAATCGCACGAAGCACTTCCCGTCGTTCCCGATGTTCCCGGCGCACGAGCACGGCGGCGACACCTACACCCTGGACTACATCAAAGTGAGGAGCGGTTGCAGCTGCAAGGTGAGGAAGAAGAAGAAGAAACCGACGAGAACGGAGGACAATAGTTGATTTCGATTAGTTGATGCCAAAGTCTCTGTGTTGATATTGTTGTTTGTTTCTGTCTCTAAAAGACTAAGGTTTCCAGGCATTCCATTTTTGTATGATCTTAGTGAGGAGTTTGATGGACTTTGTTTTCTAGTCTGACGAGTTACTTTTTTGTAAGAGTGAATCGACGAGTGGTTGAATTCACGGGACTGTCGTAGCGCTTTGTAATGACTGATTTGAATTTCTTTTGGATATTTTTTCTAGTCGGGATAGGATTTGTTTTAATCCTGTTTCACGACTTTTGTATTGGAAGTTTGTTCCGCGTTTTTCTCTTCATTTCGACAATTTATGTTGGAATTAAACGGAGTAAGGTGGAGATTATTGGTTGTCGAAGCTTTACTCACTATAATTTAGTACTTAACGAGAAATTTTTTTGAAGATCTCTATTCAATTAACTAGAATTGTAATGCGACACTCTCGGTTTTTCTTTCGAGATATTCAATTCAAAATTATTAGTACCCGAAAGAAATATTGGGATGTCCAGGTAAGAAATTTCATAAAAATGTCATTGTAATTAAGTAATTAATATGTTTGTTTTTTGCCATTATCAAACGGTTAAATTATTTATTACAATGATTAAGATATCTAGTAGTTAATCAAAAGCATAAAAATATCGTTGTTGTTATAAATGTATGTTCATATAGTGATGTTACAAAACATAAATGGATGTTACTGTAAAACTTTCAAATATACTCTGTAGTTGTTAATTGTAATTCGTAAGAATTTGTAATTCTTGCTATTTTAACAATTCGAAAAAACTGAACGTGATTGTCTAATCTTAAATTTTAAAGCCCAGTAAAGTATTCGAGCATTTCCTATTTGTAAGCACATTACTGTTCTGTATTATGGTTACCCGCAAAAGTACTGATATGTTGTATATATATTTTTTAATTCATAGTTTTTTGTATAGACATTTAATTAAGTTTTATGTAAATAATTATTTTTAAGTACTTATTTATTGTATTTTTTATATTTATTTTTATAATGTTTTGTATTATTATACCTCATTTGTACTATAAATCTGTGGAGTACGTTTCTTCATGACAATTATATTTCAATTAAAAACGTAAAAGAAATAGAAAATAGTTTTACTATTGTGAAATAAAGCATCTTTTACACACAATTATCTAATTAATAACAATGATTACTTTGAAATAGAAAGATTTACAATAAAAATATAACACAACTAAAAACTTATAAAGAATATTAAAACAATTACAAGTGTTCTTTAAATAGTAAAAGTATTTTCTAATATATTTAAAATTAAATAATCTTGCGCTGTATTTCTTCTGTAATATTAGTATGGCCTATTTATTCGATATAAATAAACTTCTATACTAATATCAGCTTTGGTACTTAATTGAAATAGAAAAAATATCGAAAAAAACTTTAATTGAAATAATTTACAAACTATCTTGCATTAATAAGAAATGCAATGAACCATTTACCGCTTTTTCCATGTGAACTTTCTTCGAGCGCCCCATTGTCCTGGCTTCTTCCTTTCTCTGGTACGGTAATCCCTGCTCAGCAAACCCGCTATTCGCATCTTTTCTATCATATCCGGCTCTACGAAGGACCTCAATCCAGAGGCGATGCCCCATCTCAGCGCTCCGGCCTGTCCGGAGTAACCTCCTCCGGCAACGTTGCACTCAACGTCTACTTTGTTGAGCATATCCGTGAATATCAGAGGAAAAAGAAGCTGTTCCCTTGATTGGACATCTTCGAAATACGTTATGTCTTGGTTGTTTATTGAGATTTTACCGGTACCAGGCATTCGAATGGTCACGTCTCCTCGAGCTCTCTTCCTTAAGCACTCGTATGTTGTAACGTATTGCCTTCCGTCGGAATCTATGTGGGGTTTGGGTATATCCAACGTTTTTACTTGATTAATAAGCGGTTTCGAGAAGTCTAAGATGAAGTCTTTGATCTTGTACGAGTAAGGATGTGCAACCAATCTTTCTAATGAGTTAATCAAATATTCGTAATCTTTGTCTCCGACGCTTTCGACAAGTTTCGTTTCCAAGGCTTCTTTATCTAACCATTGGTTACCTGACATATCTAAAGTTAGGTTCGAGTCGGGTCGTAAGTTTTTCTTAATCATGCCATCTTCGAATCTGTTCAGGTCTATAATATGTTGGCATATGCTGTGCAGCACCTCGTAGTAGTTGGCTCTACCAGTATAAAATAAGAAATGAAACGGTCTACCTGAAATAAATATTCTCATACATCGAATGGTAATTAAATGATTTTGCTAATTACCTGTTTCGTCGAATTCTGCTGCCTTCCGTTGTGGAAAGATTTCCTCAGGGGGCTTCATGATAGGCCTGGCTTTCTTTTCGAACAATCCCGATGGGAATAAATACTCTATAGCGTTATCGATGTCCTCCTGAGTGAAGTGTTCCGGATCTTCTCCCATCATATTAGCCAAATGCCTTTTACCCAATTTAAATTCTTTCCTCTGTTTTTCCATGAACTCGTCGTGTTCCCTAGCTCTTTCTAAATACGCCCTCATCGCTTTACTGACGTTTTTCTTCGCGGGGTCCACCGTGACGTCCGATTCATTGGGGCTCGTTGAATAGTCATTAGTTAGTAGATTTCTAGCAGAAACAACGGGTGTTTGGTTTCTGGTTAGTTGTATTATGCGGTTTATACTTCGTAATAACATCGTTTTAGTTTTGGAAATTCAAATGAGTTATAATAACATAACCACAAAATATCATCTACTTTTAGGTTATAAAGAAATGTCAAAGTTGTCAAAAGTCAAAATAGTAAAAAAATATTGTCAATTAAAGTCTTCTTTTTTTTTCTTAATTAGACTTTTGCATGGACATTTATGATAATCATCGTCACGGAAATTTTGGTACAAAAAATAAAAAAAAAGTAAAAAAGGGAAGAAGCAAAGCTCCGCCGCATCCGCACATCCGCCGACAGCCGGTTAGGCCAAGTCAGCAGTCACACAGTCACAGCAGTGCCTCGCCCCCTCCCATCATCCAGCAACATAATGCCCTTATTTGTAGACAAATGGACTAAACGTTGGTCTGCGATATGTAAAAGCTATTTGTTAAACAAATAATGTAAAATTGGTCACATAACTATGAAAGCATTCGGTACTTTTTGTATAATGACGGTTCTCCTATTTTGACTTCTGACAGTAAAAATGAATTTGAAGTAATTTAGAAAGTTTCTCAGTAACTAGTAAAAAATAAAGAAAGTGAGTGTTTTGGTTACAAAAATGGAGAAAATTCATCTCTTGCTAACACACAATAAAAGCATCACCCTGTATATGAATAAGAAATTAGACCAAATAGCTCTAACAACACAGGCCTCTTCTAAAAACTGGCTGAATCATACTCTGTAAAAATGGTTGCATAACGTTGCACATTATTTTGAAATTAGAAATTTTTATTCCTGTACATTTCCACGATAAATTTTATCGCTAAATTCGTTATTGCCATTTCCTGTCGTTAATTAATTAAGCGAATTAATTGACGAAATATGTAATCTCAAAATAAATAATCTTAAAACATATGATGTAACTAATTTTTTAAACAAAGTACCTATATATTTTTTTATTCCACAGACTTTAATTGTTTTACAGACGATGAGAGTTTAAATAAATTCTTCAACAATTAATCCCGCCTACTGTTATTGTTATTACAAAATCATCTCCTTGTTTGCGCTCGCTTTAATTTCGATCAAACTCGATGACCTCATTCGTTCCACGCCAAAGTCGTCCATATATGGAGGTGATATCAGCCGTAAAATTTTATATTAATTAAATATAGCGTGACTCAGAAGTCGGAAGGTTATCCTATTTAGGTAGAGGTAAGGCAGGTATGCGTATATTTGGTGAAAATTTAACTTTATAAGCAGAAATTACTGGGTAAATTTACAATAGACATTCGTTTCTATACGGAAATGAAATGAGTTATCTTTCTGAACTCTATTCGAAATTCCAGCTATAATTAGACCCTCACAGAATTTCCATGCAGGTATTTTTACCCGCATTGCAACTCCACATGGGTGAACCCGCTTTCTTTCTGTATCAGTCGCAGGCCGGCCTAAAAATACGAAAACCGGCACGAAATCTCTTTTAACACGCAAGAATATACCAGCGTGTTCATGACCCCAACGAATTAATCTTCCAACGGTGATTTCGACCACGAAAAAATACGGTTTACCTATTATTCTCGACGGAAATAAACGCATTTTTCTACCGCTAACTTCCCAAATACCATACGGCTTTTCTAAAATAAATTTCCAATCGCAGGTGCATTGACTCCTCCACCATCGAAATTCGATAAATCCATTTTAAACCGACCGGAGAGAGACGGAAAATAACGACCCGCTTTTCCGTTACGGCCACGTGACCGCCGCCGACCAATAGCGACCCGTAGAAATAGGCGTTGGCACGGTGATCTGCGACGACGTCGCGGGTCGTATAAATACCGCGGAGCGCGTCGCGTCCCCGCATATTCGTTTGGAAAGCTGCATTACAAGCTGAACTGACGTCTGTCGCATATCGATTCTTCGATTTTTTGTGCTGTAAAAGTTTTTAAAGAAACCCTATCAAAATGGTGAGTACGCGATTTGATCGCATCAATACTGTTAAAGCGGTGTAAATTTGTTGGAATATTGTGTAATTTTGGTAGAAAGTGATTCATTTTAACCGTTACTGACGTGGCGCGGCCATCTTGTGAGGCCGGCTTTTTTATTTGTATCGACATTTTAACTATCAGTAATGCTATTCATGGGGGTTTTTAAACGTTTGTTACTTTTTAAATACGTTTTGTAATGTGATTATGATATTTTCAGCGTGAATGTATCTCAGTCCACGTTGGTCAAGCCGGAGTCCAGATTGGTAACGCCTGCTGGGAGTTGTACTGTTTGGAACATGGAATCCAACCCGACGGTCAGATGCCGTCCGACAAAACCGTCGGCGGTGGAGACGACAGTTTCAACACCTTCTTCAGCGAAACCGGCGCCGGCAAGCACGTACCCAGGGCCGTATTCGTCGATTTGGAGCCCACTGTAGTCGATGAAGTAAGAACCGGAACCTACAGACAATTGTTCCACCCCGAGCAATTGATCACCGGCAAAGAAGACGCCGCCAACAACTACGCCAGAGGCCACTACACCATTGGCAAGGAAATCGTCGACTTGGTTTTGGACAGGATTCGTAAATTGGCTGATCAATGTACCGGATTGCAAGGTTTCTTGATCTTCCACTCGTTCGGCGGTGGTACCGGTTCCGGTTTCACCTCTTTGTTGATGGAACGTCTCTCAGTCGATTACGGAAAGAAATCTAAATTGGAATTCGCTATCTACCCGGCCCCGCAAGTATCTACCGCCGTTGTGGAACCCTACAACTCTATTCTGACCACGCACACCACCCTCGAGCACTCCGACTGCGCCTTCATGGTCGACAATGAAGCCATCTACGACATCTGCAGACGTAACTTGGACATCGAGCGCCCGACCTACACCAACTTGAACAGGCTCATCGGTCAAATCGTATCGTCCATCACCGCTTCTTTGAGGTTCGACGGCGCCCTGAACGTTGACTTGACAGAATTCCAAACTAACTTGGTACCTTACCCTCGTATCCACTTCCCTCTAGTCACCTACGCTCCGGTCATCTCCGCCGAAAAGGCCTACCATGAACAACTCTCTGTGGCTGAAATTACCAACGCCTGCTTCGAGCCCGCCAACCAGATGGTGAAATGCGACCCCAGACACGGAAAGTACATGGCTTGTTGTATGTTGTACAGAGGCGACGTTGTACCGAAGGATGTGAACGCTGCTATTGCTACCATCAAGACCAAGCGTACCATCCAATTCGTAGATTGGTGTCCGACTGGTTTCAAAGTTGGTATCAACTACCAGCCACCCACCGTGGTTCCTGGTGGTGACTTGGCCAAGGTACAACGTGCCGTGTGCATGTTGTCCAACACCACGGCCATCGCCGAGGCTTGGGCTAGACTCGACCACAAGTTTGATCTGATGTACGCCAAGAGAGCCTTCGTCCACTGGTACGTAGGTGAAGGTATGGAGGAAGGTGAATTCTCCGAGGCCCGTGAAGATTTGGCCGCCCTCGAGAAGGATTACGAAGAAGTTGGCATGGACTCCGGAGAAGGAGAGGGCGAAGGAGCCGAAGAATATTAGACACATTCGACGATGATCCATTCAAAATTTTTATACTTTCGCTTTTTTCTTTTTTGAATCGACATTTCAAGTCTGATTAATTTAAATACAGATTTTTTTTACAAGCATTTTTGAGTTTTATTTTGAATCAATAAATCGAAAGTTGAAAACATAATTTTTTATTTCAGTCAATTCAGAAAAACAATGTTAGAATCGGCAAATAGAAATTTTAACCCTTACATTAAACAAAATAATTCACCTTAGTACAAAAATTCCCGTAATTAGAAGTATTTTTTTACAAATTGCATTATTTCACTGGTAACGTTAAAATATAATTTCTTGAAATTGCAAATATTTATCAAATACAAAAATAAGATTCCGATTAATCAAATCTTACTGGAATCTAAACGCCCTTTTAAATTCTTTGCACCCCTTCAGGCCTTAATATTAAGTCAATTTTCTCACTAATCTTTATATCACCATTCTTCTTAAACTTTACGGGTATCCTAACGATAAGATTTCTCGGCAAACAACTATCAGCAGTACAGGTAACTAAATTAAGCAGGAAATCCAAGTTGTTTGCTTCCGAGGCGCTGCTCTTGGAAATGCTAATCACAGTTTCGATTTTATTGAGATCCGATCCGCTTTTCGGAACAGCGGACCAAGTGACATCCCTCAAATTCACCATCCAATGTTGAGGAGCGCCTTCTGTTAGCCCCAAACCGTTCTCAAAAGCCAGCTTAATCGTCAGGATAACTTTTCCACCGTTCTCGTTGATGTTTACAGGCTTCTGCATCAGTACATCGTACTTCGATTCGTCCACGTTGTTGTCCTCGTTCGACATTTTCAGATCGAGCTTCTCGATCTTCACAATGCTTTGCTTGCTGTTTAAATGAACTACTTTGATTTGGTGATTATTGGTGTCTGTCACATAGAGCTTCTTGTTATCCACGCTAACGCATATACCGGACGGTTCCCTGAAACCCGTCGAAGCGCCATCGGGGCAGTCCCCTGCCGGTAACGTTAAGGAAACGATCGAGTTCTCAGATAAATTGATTTTTTTCAGCTTGTGATTGTAAGTATCGGCCACAAAAAGCGTTTTTTCATCACCGGCGGGTGCCAGACCGAGCAGATGTTGCAGTTTTGCATCGTAGAGACAACCGTCCTTGTCACCGAAAGCAAATAAGTTCTAGAATCGTAACAAATTTTCCAATTAAATAATTTATAATAGGATAATTGTGTGTTAATTACCTGCGGGTTTCTATCTCCTCCGACCACCGGAGTGACCTTTCCATCGACTAAAGAAAGCTTCCTTACGCTGGAACTCTCGCTATCAGCTATAAATATTTCCTTGTTCTTCTGGCAAAGCGCTAAACCCGATGGTTGAGCGAACGCTGCTGCATGGGGGTACAAGTTATTTCGGTTTTCTTCTCGACCGGAGCCTGCTATATTTATACAAGTACCTGAAAATACAACAATTAACGAAAGTATTCTTATTACTTAGGCATTTTTTTACCAGCTGGATGCTTTTTGCATTTCCACCATACGGTGTCTTCCAAAAACAGCGCCCAAATTTGATGTGTACCAGCCATAGCTATGATAAGAATGTCTCTTATGGGCGGATTTCCATCGGGGTGGAATGTAAGATCCATATCGGGCGTACGAAAGATGCAAATATCCCATGGTGATGATATTGCTTGATTGGTTCCAATTTTACCACCCACATGATCTTCTCCTTGTTTCCCTGTACCTAAAATTAGTATTAATTAATCGAAGAGCTATGCAGGAGATAAGAAAAACAATGAACGAGAACTGGAGGAGGCCTTTGTTCAGCAGTGGATAAATACAGGTTGAAGAAGAATTGGATTACAACATAAATGTAATATTACCTGCTACAGTAACGACGGTTTTATTCTTCAAATCGACCTTCCTTATAGCGTGATTTTCAGTATCGGCTACATACAGAATATCTCTATTTTGGAATACCAATCCTTGGGGATTATTAAATTCGGCGTCTTCGATACTACCATCTTTAAAACCGACTCGTTTACCCCCGATTTGCTGTAAAATTCCCCCATCGCTTTTTACAATCAAAATCCTGTTATTCCCCGTATCGGACACCGCCAAGATCTCGCAGTTGTTATTAACATCCAAAACGTTGGCAATTTTCCCGGGGAACAGCAGAGGGCCTTTCATGTCGGGCAGTAGATGGTACGCGCTCCTAATCGGTAGTTTATGATCGGAGATCAAGCCTTGCTCCTTGTAGAATTTGATTGCGTTACGAATGTACAAAATTAGATCATTTTTGTGGCCCTCTCCAGTTAGCATGACGATGGGGTTGCTGTTGGGGCCCAGGAGCAACAGAGTAGGCCAGCAATGGACGTCGCAGTTTTTCCACATTTCCGAGCCGGAATCGTTCACTACGGGGTGGGATATGTTGTTACGTTGAACAGCAGCCAGTACGTTTGATGATATTTTCTCATTCTCGAATTTAGCGCTGTGGACTCCTACCTATAAAATAAATAATTCTTCTGTATATACAGTTAAGTACATACATTTAGTTCTACTTACCACAACTAAGCCCTCTTCTACGGAAAACGTATCTTCTATTTCTTTCAAATCGGGAAGGACGTGAAGACAATTAATACAACAATACGTGAAGAAATCTAATACTACCACTTTCCCTTTGAGATGTTTCGTAAATGAAAGCGGTTCAGTTACATTAAACCATTCTAAACCTATAAGGAATGTGTTAAAGCAAGTGTTAAATAAGCAAATTATACATAAAAAATTAATTTTACCTGAAGGGAAGTCCGAAATCGGGGCGTATTTTACGTTCTTCAAATATTCTAATACACCTTCGTCTTGGTTTTTGGCCGATTGAATGAAATTTTGGAGTTTTTCATTCGAAAAATACAGATAATCCTCGCTCATAGTGGCTGAATAAACGGATATCTAATTTTAGACGTGTTCGATTGAATTGGCAAACAAATGTCTGTCGAATTCAAAATTTGGGATATCTGGTTGCAAAACAGAGCGAAACGTAAATGGCTAACCAACTAATAATAATTATAGAAAGTAAAAATCTTTGGAATGTCAACAAACTTAACCTACAAAACCATTTTCTACTTCTGTGCAAAAGTTTCGTTATTTGCCTTCTACCAAGTAGTTCGTTAGCTACTGAACTACTAATCAGTAGCTCAGTAGCCACTAATCAGTGGCCTCTAATTGAGTACGTTTCCAACAATTTTTTAATTAAAGAAGGATAAAAATAAATATTTTATTTACAAAATTATACATAATTACACGTAATATTCTTATTTTACTGCACGTATACAATGTTATGTACAAAGTAAGTATAAAAAATGCCACAAATTCTCAGAAATTTCACCTCTTCTTGCGAATAACAGATTACTTGATAAAATACAAAAATTCCTAAATGTCAGAAATTTTTTCTGCAGGCTATTTATTACTATTTAATATTCTACTTCTTACTTTTAAATTCATCATAAATAGTTCATAACTTCAAGAAAACCTACTTGCATAGAAATCCTTTATTTGCCATTCAAATAATTTGAAATCCCAAAGAATAAATCGTCAGAATTTGATGATGATGGTTTATCTAAAAAAAGAAAAAGCAAATAATTATTTATCATCTTACCCAGTAATTTTTAAAATTAATTTTGTTAATTCTTTAGGTTCCTATAGGAAACAGAGCTATAGTCATTAATTCGCCGTTGTAATACGCAATGTATTACAATTTTGATTACAGATATTGTTAAATACAATATAGCCGGTTTTAATTGTGTTATGGCGTTAGTTCGAGCGCGTTATTAATTAAATAATTACATAAATTAGAATTACAATGGCGGAATACGTACCGCACAAGCCGGAGAACTTCGTCGAGTCGGTTAATCCGTTCCCATTGCAATTTGGATATCCCTTGGTATACGGAGTTTGGCCTAGCACATTTCCCCTGAGAAAAAACGAATAGGAATCTATCAATTCGATTCTCACGTTTCGAGAATTTGATTATAAAAGGAATTCACTTTATATTGTAATCAAGGATCGTGGGATAGAAAGGAGAAAAAAAGAAAGTAGTTTGTATTCGGTCCGGGAAGGACTGTTTGTTTTTTTTGCGATGTCCGTCGAATGAAAACGGTTTATTAGTAAATCTACCCGAAAAATATTATCATAATGCTCGGTTTTTATTAGGGTTGATCTACTTGCAGTAGATTTAAAAAAAAACATAATTAATCTCCATTAAACGATAATCCTTCAAATGCGTTAATTCCGTTAGATTTGCATTGAATATTCAACAATATACTAGTTGTGTTTATCCGCTGTTAATACCCTTTCAGCTGCGAGTAAATGTTCAATCCATTATTATATAACATAGTCGCTGGTGTACTACGTATTATGATATTATAACCAAACAGTAAACACATATTTCTTCCTTAGCTTCGGTATCGGCTATTGTAAATATTTGACTTGCACTCAGATAATTGTGTTCCGAAACGTCGAGCAATTTAATGTATAAAATCATGAGGATGCAATACAAAAACATAATAAATTAGTATACTGGTAAAAACATTGTTTGGATGCTAGAGTAATTGTTATAATGAGTTGAAATTATTTAAAAAAATCGTACTCACCCTGGTCCATAATTGCAAATGTAATTCTTGGTGTAGCCTTTGGAAGGATCGTAGTAGAACGAATATCCGCATCCCACTAGGTTCGTATCGGCCCAAATCATCTAAAACGAGCGAATATTTACAATAGCGTGGCGTGCAATCGAAAATTCGCGTTAATTCTCTCATTACCTGTGTATAATGGCCCGTCCTGCCGGGCCCTATGCCGCCGAAATGGAATAATTTAAATTCGTTGAACCATTTCGTTATGGCGTCCGCAAAATCCGGCTCGGTATCGTAATAGCTCCTTGGCGGTTTCGTCGTCCACGTTGTCGCTATATTTTGTCCTACGGGAAATCTCGCTAAAAATAAATCGCCTCCGTGAATGATTGCATTTTATTGCAAGCTAATTTGGAATGTAATTTTGTGTAGTATTTTATGATAGCTACTTTGTATACAGGGTGATCTCAAACATATGACACTAAATTCTAGTGGTGGTAGTTTGCATAATTTGAGACCGATTCGCAGATTTCATTTTTCTAAAAAAAAATAGTCATTAGAAATAAATGCAAAGAGCGAATACAACCGTGACCTGAATAGTCAGCTGATCGGATTTTTAACTCAAAAAACAGATACGGTGTATTTATCAGTGAGCGCGAATTTCCCCCTCCGCCCTCCAGCTTTCGAAAAACGTTATCGATACCGATTGTTTTCTAGTGCGAATTGTATTGTTTTGATTGAAACATCGGGGTTAAATAGATTTTTGTGATTACACTATTGTGATTTATTTGAATGTTTAGTTCATAGTGTTCTCAGTTTAGTTAGTTCGTATGTTATAGTGATATTCTGGAACAATTAATTACAATATTGGCAATGCCACGCGCGTGAAATAGGATCATTAATAAACAATCACTATGAACTTCATTATTTTTCTACAACGAAATAGGTGAGCTAATATTTCTTTAGAATTTAAAGTTTATTTTCCTCTATTGTTTGAACATCCCGGTTTACTTTTATTATTTATCTATTTATCCATAAAAAGTAATAAACAAATTCTAAGAGGATATTACTTTATAAATCATTATTTCTAGAATTTAGTGTCATAAGTTCGAGAACACCCTGTAGAGTTTAAATTGTTATACCTGATGGTACCTTTGAAAGCTATAAATGAGCAAGGGAATTAGTTGCTAAAAAAATTGTATTATTCTCTGTGAGTTTACAGTTGAAGAGTAGCGGAGAAGAACAACAACAGTCCATCCAAATATTTTCGAGAAAAATTTAAATATACATAAGTTTACTTGTTAGAAACTGAAATTAAAGGAATCTTTATGCTGTTCTTTTGCGGACTACAGCAATTTTTACCATTTAACGATTTCATTATCTGATAGTAACTACAAAATGCTGTAAAAATAAACTGATGTGAGCTTTGTTTTGCAAAAATGGTCTATTGTCGCTTTTCCCCTGTAGCCTTCAGTTGTATTTGTGTTAAGTATTGTCTCTTTAGATTGTAGATATATTAGCTTTTTTTGATATAAATAAAACGATATAATACTATCATTAATATGCTACAAAATCGCTACTTACAAACGTGTCGGTTCTTATCGTGCTGCTCCGCGTAACAAGTGCTGGTCCATCTTTGCGCTCCTCTGGCTAATTCGTCATCCCACTTCTGAAAATTCAAAATTTCGATAGAAACGTACGCGTAGAAAAGAAATTTCAATATCATACTTATTTTTAATTATAAAAGACGTCTCTTACTGTAACAATCAACGATGGAGCGAAGTAATGAAAGGGCTCTGATATAACACGTATTCGCCGATGTACACAGAGATACAAACGAAAAGAGATGGGAAAGAAATTATTAGAAAGACAGATTGGATGAGCACTGTGGCCTTTTTCCAAATTAAGCATCATAATTTTAAAATTCCCATTAAAAAAACATTAACATCAAACATAATAATATTAACAGTGTATTTAGATGTAACTGTGCGTATAGTATGCATTCAGTGTACTTATTACTAGTTTTTGGTTGATTTTTTTTTGTTTTTTGGGGCAGGTAGTTGGACAAAGAGGACCCAGCGCGGGGAGCGGGTCCCCCGCGGGTCCAAATTGAAAGCTTAAAGGAAAAATGACGAAACGACGACAACAAAGTTATAAAAGTGAACGGGAAAAGTGGCTCCGGAGTGATGTGGCAAGTTGTAAAAAGAAAAAAGGGAGCTTCGAGATTGTGTGTCTTGCGAGATATAGAAGAAAGAGGTAGACAATCGAGTTATTTCATTTACTCGTACACTGGGCAGGAAAATACGAAAGCGATGGATTTCTTTCGGGCACGACGAAAATCACTGGAATAATTCTCTTTGTTCCGGTCGCCTCTTAGAATTTTCAATCGACGAAAATAAGGGGGATGTATACAGGAAATTTTAATGCGGTATTTTATAACTTACCATTTCCATCATATTAGTGGCCGGCGGTTGTCCTCCTATTTGTCCTAGTGCTATCGATTGCCTCATTGCATTGTGCAAGTCTAGTATTAATTCTTTATCGTAATCTGATACGCCGCTCGTCCCTAAAAATACAACCCCAAAGAAAATGAGCTTTTAATGTAACGACAATTATCCGTAATTCTTACAGCGGTAAACGCTTTCAAAGAGCATCGTTAAGGAATAATAAAACATGGAGAATAACCAGATGTGCTGTAATTTTTCATGAAGGAAACGACCAATAATTTAGGTAGAATAATAACAAATTACGGCGTCAATATTTCAAGTGACTAATATTTTCAACGCCGATATAATTAGGTAATTCTGGATATAGGTAACACCTGAATTTCGAGCTCTTTATACACGTCACTCATAATGATGATTATTGGACAAAACGACTATACAATTTTATTGTATTCATGTTTAAATTAGTCAATAAAAACAAAATAAGGAAACAAATGTGAGTAAGATAAACCTAATTGCATCCAGTTGATATCCCGAAATCATTTTTGCAGCGAAGGGACTAAGATAGGCGATATGAAAAATGAACGGAACAAAAGGATTTCTCGTATCGCCGAGCAATAACATTAGTGTTAAAACGTTTTCGTTGGTCCTTTATGGGCCGAACTCACAATGGTGGGCCGACCATTTATCAAAATTAATACTCACTTAGCATTGTTCTTGCACACGCTGCCGCATCCCCAATCAGTGTCAAAGCTATAATGGCTATTAATGGACCGCTGCCTTTTCTAACTGCTGTTGTCGGCCACATATTGTTTCGCTGGAACACAAAAACCCGAATGATTACGTTTTTCTTTCTGCTCGTATATAAGTTTTTCCGAACTGGCGCTTCTGTATATCTTTCTCGCCGGCTTTCCCGGGGCACCGGGGACGTAAGTGGTGGAAAATAATCCGGCCAGGTTGGCGGAATTATTCACGTTATTTGAGGTACTTTTCGACGGATGTTTAGAATTTTCAATAAATATCGGAGAATCCGATTGCTTATGAAAGTTGACGTTCGCTTCGATATGGAAATAAACCGTATGTTTTATTCAAATGATCGAATAAGGGATGCAGGCGAAACTCATTTAACTGTAAGTATGGCGTACATTAGGCATTGTGGGTAAAAATAATTCCTTTTTATTCGTCATTCTTTTTCCTCTCATTTTATACATTTATATTTTATGGGGCAACTCGCCAATTTTTAATTATAACTGGTAATATTTCATATTTTTGTTACAATTAGAAATTGTCAAATTGGAGCAGGAAATGTGACAAAATTCGCGAATTCATTAACGAACGAAAAATATTTTCATTTAATTAAAATAAATAATCAATTTTCGAAAACCATTGAATAAACACGCCTATTTATACCTGTAGGTGGTAATTAACATACTAATTATCGCGCAGATCGATAAGAGGGCAATTTAAACAGGAGTTTCTTTACGACTTTACCGCTTTTATTATTACCAATCATTTACGCAGCGACTTTAATTATTTTGTAATTAATTTCGTTTACTACTTAAATTTTAGTAACTTCGATACCGATATTATCTACTTAAATTTCGTAATAACATTGAATTATGGAAATCCGCTCGTAATAGGGTTTTTCTCGATAGCCTCTTGTACTCCAACGGACTGTATACGCTCTTATTGTATTTACTTTGTGTCATTTGGTCACGTATCAGCCCGTCTTATCTGCGGTAAAAATGCGTGTATCTAGGCAAAGCCCCAAAGAAGATCCGAAAAGCTTCAGGAACGTAACCAAAGGAATTTCATCTGGACCAATAACAAAGTTTCCTGGAAAATTCATCATCTCAAACATATTAATTACTGATTGAGATTATCTTGTTTAAAAGGTGATTGGGTGAAGGGGAGCTCATTTGGTCACTATTCCACTTTGAGCATCCCGATTTGGATGACGCCCGCGTCCTTGGAAAAGTGTCGCCGGGATACGCCCCGCAAAATGGAAAGGAAGGCGGGAGACGTTCGAAATCCAGACTTTATGAGTAGTAAAGTCAATATTCCGAACACGATCCTGTCTCTTAACCGTGTTACGTAGCGAAAATTGAATCTTGTAACGATAGCGGCCTCGTCGTACTCTATGGAAGAGAGGACTCGTTCCGGGATAGAGAAGTAGAAAAGGCGAACGCGCATGGGCCCCGGATTACCCATAGGCGTAACTCGCCTTTTCAAAGTTCAAGGTTGCGTTTTTTTTTTATTCGTCCGTTCGGATTATTCCCGTACAGGTAGTCATTTAATTTTTTCTATCATTAGTAAACCTATTTGCTTAGCTAACGATTCGACTAGTGCACTTTTTGAATAATTTAAAATCAATATGTGAGAATCTTTAGACCTCTAAACCCGGCGTATCATTAATCAAGCATTTAATTGGCTAATTTATATTCCAAAATCCTGATTATATGAGACTTAAGGAAAAGAAAAACACTCGAGAGTGTTTGTGTAGAAATCGAAATATACCATTGGTGTAGTATAGAGTTCAATAAATAAAAGAAATATTACAATGCACGGCTATTGGGATAATTCGCAAAATAATACAGCATCTACATTTACCCATTAAAGTAAGTAATAACGATTCTCCATTAGACTTATCGCGGAAGGAATTTAACCGGGAAAGCGCCATTACACAGGTATCGCATTCGGGGCAAAACGTAAATTGAAAATTGTTCTCGTCGGAGGAATTATTCGGCTCGCTTGAATCATTTCGCCTTTTGGCAGTTATGCAATAGTTCCGAACGAGTTTACCGACGATAATGCACCGGGTGAAGACAATTTACTTGAAAGCCGGGGTAACGAAGGCGCTGCTGCGAGCCGGGCGCTAGCTGGGATCCCGGAAGGGAAAACCGCCGCCGGGTAAAATAGTGATAATTAGTTTTCTCCGGAGTATTCCCGGCGATATACCGAAATTAGTTTTTTAGATATCTCTGCTTAAACTATCGTGTTGTTAAATGAAATGTGTGTGCAAAATTTTGAGAAGAAACGCGCAATTTATGGGAGATATTTATAAAAAATTTAGATTCAATGGTTAATTAATTAGTATCTATTGTATGATTTATTAACTATTTCTGAGTATACCTAATTAAAAATGGAGTGTATAAAATTGGGACGGTTGAGATATTTAGACGGTATTAAAGTGAGACGTTTCTAAACCAGCAATTTTCATTTCTGTATATTTTTATTGTACTTATATTCAGTATCACTGAAATGTTCATAATTTGCATCATACAACTTAATATTAAATGTACTTAATAAGCAGAGCTTCCAATTAGTAAGAAATAATTCATCAAATTGAATTTTAGCGACTAAATAATACAAGGTTCTCTATATTTACTAAACTAATTTACATCAATGAATACAACAGACATTTTTTAAATATAATTTCCAACTATCTAGACGACCAAAATTCCACCTAGAAATTAGTCAACGAAAAGTTTAGATTTTTTTTGTCCGGCTTGACCAAGAGGACCAAAGTTTCGTGCGGTGTAGCCGACTTGATCGAGCGGTACACCGGGATTTAAAGCCGTCTGGAGACCCCCTTTGTCCTGATTAAATCGGCCTCATGTAAAAGCAGTTCGCAATAAGCCAATTTGAATTGGCGACAACTAGACAGCTTAATCGTCAAACCGTAAATTTAGCTCATCGTCTGGGAGCATCGATTTTTTGCTCAGCTATACATAATGCATTCTAAATGATGGCGCTTTTGATTCGGTAACGTTTAATCGAGATGCATATAATAGAAACATCGATTTGGTAAAAAGTATTTCTTTTAGACCAAACTGGTTAAATTCACCGGTTGACTTCCTTTAACGGTAACTTCCAACTTTTTCCATTGTTGCAACATTTTAAGCCGCCGCGAATTCGAAATTTATATACAAGGGAACGACGAGATTTGTATTTATTCAATCGCCGAGCCGGAACGGGATCCAACGAAAGTAAATTTGCTCGACGAACAGATATAATTGAATAAACTTTTGACAAAAGCATCGAATCAAACACTCGAATACCGAGATTTTCGACCGTACCGAAAGTTTAGTCATTAAACTTTCGTCCATTGTGTTTTTACGGGTATTACTACTACTTCCGGACGCATACTAACAAAAAGAACCGCTTCAAGTTCGGAGAGTCGGAACTCACTTCAACAAGTCCCGCAGATATAACCGGTAACCGGATGGTTTCCATATAAAAAATTAAAACGGAATACTCACTCGTATTGAATATCCCACAGGTATTTAGGTACTTATAATACACAAATTAAACACACCACAATCGATCATAAAAAAGACAACGTACTGATTGAAGCGCGTAATGATACGAAAAAAATAAGAGTAACGAGCTACTAAGACGCGGCGACGAGTGTCTCGCGGACGCCAATCTGTCTGCTACCATTGAGCTACCTGGTTTTCAGATGATTATATATCCTTCCTGCGGACTGGTAGCCGAACTAGGTGTCAAGGATAGTCGACTGGACACATCACCTGTTCGCTTCTTTTCTTCGGCTTTCGATATACCCGCCCGTCGCGCGGCCACTTTAATTACATATCTCCTGGAAATTGCTGTTGTTAATGAACAATGGCCGTATCATTATATTTTTCTGCGGCAGGAAAGTGCGGTAATGAAGCTCGTTATATTACAGTCAGATATCGAGGTTGTATTTCATACGGCTGCGAAAACTCCCATTCTGTTAGTATTTCCTGCTGAGCAGGAGAGACCTAAGACTACCACTGGCTGAATACGAAATGAAAACGCAATTTATGTGGCACATGGCCGTTTCTCGACAGGACTAAAGGGCGCATTCGTTCGTTCGGAAAGGGATAAAACCTTTAGGTATATTCCCTTTAAAAATATTGGACCGTAAATCGTGGCCGGACGCTAAGGTAGAGTGTTATTATTATGTCAGTTTCAAATGATCTATATAGAGCTACATTGGAAGAGGTATTATTTCTATTTTATGTCCTATATCTTACATGAATATTGATTTTTTTTCGTTTAAAGATTCACTTCTGTTCACTAAGCGAATGTATCTATCACACCACTTTTATAGTTCAATAACTGTATAGGCAGTTCACAAATATGTAGCTACTTAAACAATTTTTGAACTTATTAGCAATTTTTTATTAATACAGTTTCCCAGAACAACGGAGAGTTAGTTATATTTCGCACTTTTAGGTTAATCAAATGGAGACGTCAGAGCTTTATTAAAGTAAACGTACTTTAACAACATAATTATAATGTTCCACGCCTCTGGTGGTAGTTTTTTTCGAGCTTCAGGTCTTTGTTAAGATGGTTATTAAATATGGGCGTGCGTGCGTGGTCTCTGGGGGTCGAAACATATTTAACGGGAAATATACTGTTCCCCCAAAAGAGAAATACTGCCTATTGTTTCCTTTTACGAAAGATTAAAGTGATTATTCTTTTCAACTGTCAGAGAAAGTGAAAGGTTCTGTTCACTGTATCCTAAAAATAAGAGCGATAGTCGCTGTTTTTTGTATCGAACAGGAGCTAGAATTCGAGACGCCCGCAATATCCAATATTTTCCTCATCTGGACAACGTGCCTCAAGAGTACGAGGCCATTGCGCTACAAAGGACATCTCGGAAGGAATTATAAAAGGTCGGTAAATTCCGCGCTGGCTGTGCGGAAGTCGCGGCGCGGCAAATTTTATAGCGCCGCGAAGTAATTGAATTTGTTCGGGAAAGGAAAAAAGGATGCGATTTATCCAGTTAAGTGGCCATAGATCACCCATTCTGGATGTAATGAAAGTGGCCCGAGGCGGTCGCGGCTCAAACACGGCCCCT